TATCTATAAATCTATAAATATATATAGTACTATTCCAAACTGAAGATAATGAGGTACTTTCAATTTGCAGTAGCCTCGGGGTCTATCGATAGTGGAATGTGAATTTTTAACTGCGGCAAATATAAGAAAGTGAAGAGCTTCTGCACTGGGGAGCTGAGAACTTATAAAGATGATGATGACGTACGTCTTATCCCACAGATGCTCCGTGTATCTACTGAAGTACACGAAAAGGCACGGTACAAATACCTGAATGGCACAGCAATGACAGCCGGTGCTCGGATGTGCGGCGAGATCATGAGTACTGCAAGGTCATTCGTAAAGTTGTCGAAAAAAAATCGGATCCAGCTGGAAGGGGAACCATCTAAATCGTTTCCGTCGCGTAGACTTGCCCAGCATACAGTTTCTGATCTTCATCGCAAACCCTGGCCATGTTCATTGGTCCCTTGTGGTGTTGGATATGGCCAAGCAACTGGTATATCCTTGCGTGCCAGTGTAAATTCTGGATAGCATGTATGGTTCAACGACAACGTACTATTACAAATAAAGGATTGAGTCAACCCTTAACTTTAAGCGGTCTAGCGAGAACCCTCCAATTCATCTTGAGGTATCAAGCCAAGACAATATTTTGGGGAACTATCTAAATCATTTCCGTCGTGTAGACTTGCCCAGCATACAGTTTCTGATCTTCATCGCAAACCCTGGCCATGTTCATTGGTCCCTTGTGGTGTTGGATATGGCCAAGCAACTGGTATATCCTTGCGTGCCAGTGTACATTCTGGATAGCATGGATGGTTCAACGACACCGTACTATTACAAACAAAGGATTGAGTCAACCCTTAACTTTAAGTGGTCTAGCGAGAACCCTCCAATTCATCTTGAGGTATCAAGCCAAGACAATAATTTCGACTGCGGTGTACACACACTGCTTAATTTGCATTTATTTTTAGTGAATCCGCGCCAATTCCTAGATCAGCCCGTTGAATCAACTATTCAAGATATATATAACGAGAGAACACGAATTCACTCATTCTTCTACTTCTGTTGGAATGCAGTTAAGCAAGATCGTACCTCTATGGATAATAATACTACATTAGAAGATGTTGCTGTCGAATCAGACGGTTTTCACATCTTGGAGGAAGACAAGAGCAAATCCAGTGTTGTGGACCAGAACCAGGATTTCGAATCAACGAGAGAGACCGTCGATGACTACATCAGTTTGAGTGCCGATTCAGAAGCACGATCTACTACAGGATCAGAATCTGAGACAGATATGTTTCTGACTGATGGTAGTATCCCAATAGAGGAGCTGTATGAATACGACAATGATCAGAACATACAGAGAAGCACGAGTTGGTCTGAGCTCAATGAAACTTCAGGGTGGCAGGATGAGCTCCCGAGTAAAGAACTCGTGGATCAACTTACCCACAGGTTCCAAATCAGTTCTAAAAGAGAAAGGGTAGAGGTGCTATCACGTGTTATCCCTTCTATGACAAGAGATGAAAGACCAACCTTTTTAGAGGGTTTTCTCCAAGATGACATGGCCGACTCCAATAGCATTCAGCTTCTACAGAATTTGATTTCGCCTGTAAATCCTGGAAGTCTCAGAGAAAGTATATCACGAGCAGACAAATACAGGGAAGAATAAAAAAGGTATGTTAATTCATTCATTCGGTTGTTAAGTATTTATGTCGATTATTATTTTTGCAATTATGTGCAGACTATTGCGCATCTAATTCTGCATGACTTTTATTCTGATTATTTGAAAGAATGCGTACGACCTAGATCAATTTGACTTGTAGGGGTTGAATTATATTTTGCCTCACATTATCTTCTAGAATTCTTCGCAGTGAGTGTTGTGTGTATATCTCGGACCGTGATGGGTTGGAGCACGAATCTTACGCTCTTTACCTAGGAACAGTGAAGAGCAACGTGACATTCAAGGATGAAGATGTTTTCATAGATGCGGTGTATGCCCACGCCTAGCGAATGCGGAAAGCTGTATTGTAAGTTTCAAGTGATAATTTTGATGATAGTGGCGTGCACATTCTTGAGCGGTTTTGAGTTAGTTTATCGTCGGTCCCTCGCAAACTATTTAATACTCTACTATCAGTAGGATATATTATATCCCCACAATACTGTGCTAATATACTATACAGACTCCGTGATAATGGCGGAAAGAAAGAAACCGCGGAGACGATATATGTGCGCTACGCCCGGCTGTGATTATCAACACAACGGTGTGCCCGTGTACGTGAGAGGGGGCTATAATTGATGTGGAAATGTACTGTAAGTAAAGATCATTCGAAAGATTGCGATAGAGAACCAGCCTCAAGGAACAGAAATGTACAACTCAGACATATGAAGTCCTCTCGTTTTGGCAAAACACTCGAAGTATTCAAATTTGGTCAATTTAGCAGGTGAGAGTTATATTACCCCCGCTGCAATTTTATCACACATGCTCGTTTAGATACCATCTACCTCATATTGATAATACCTTTATATTCTCCCTTCTCTCAACTACAGCGCCGCTGGTCTCAAAACGAAGCTCGATGATCCGAATGACATTAAAAGGGGTCAAATGCAGAACTTCTTACTTTCTGGTAGGTTTCAAATCAATTACTATTTTATTGTTGTTGGCATTGTTACCGTGGTTGACAAATATTAGTTATCGATTGCCTTTTATATATCTATAACCTTGCACTCATTTTGATACTTCATATATGCAGGTCGCATGGACTTTTTGTCGACAATCGTGTCAGAATATCCGCGGTTCCCAGAGTTCGTTCGAAAATGCTGTGAAGCAGATAGATATGGAACATATATTCTCTCTTTAGTTAAATGTGGTTGTGTCCAACAGAAAGATTCAGTGATGTTTAATAGCTCTTACTTTGCGCCATCCGCGTGCAAGCATTTCTGGCGATATTCTAGACATGTGAGCGTGCTGGACTGTACTTTTCTGAAAAACGATCTTCGAGGTAAGCCTCGCTGCTGTTTTAAATATTCTTCATTTTCTAGCTATTTTTTTTTTAAATCCGGTCTGGCATCATGTATATTTATGTCAAAGAAAAATCACCAATCACCATTGAAGGTGTTATCGCTGTGATGACTTGCAAGGATGCAAATAATCAAAATGTTCCATGCGCATGGAGTCAACTACCGACAGAAAACCACATCGGGTGGGACAGCTTCTGTGAGAGATAAAAGGTAGATTTCCCGGATTGTAAGATTGCTATCGCAGACAAAGATAAAGGTCTGATAAAAACAAAAGATAGTCATCAGTTCCCGATAGCCAGGTGTGTTGGACCGAATGCTAATCTCAGTTTATCTCTATTGATAGGCTTCTTTATTCTCTTTTATTTCCACGTTGAATACTAATATCAAAATGGTAAATTGGCTACTTGCTATAATTTATGGGCTAGGTGCGAGAAACACTTTCGTGACAATGTAGCGACACTAGCATCGAAAAAGGGATTCCAGTACAATTAAGAAACTCTGGATGAAATGTACCAGTCGGCAGTCACACCAGTTGATGAGGAATTCAAGGTATGCTTTTTTCTGTAATTCTGTAGTGTAGTTATTTGTGAATTACCGATATGTGCAAAACCCTGATAAGCTGAGAACAATTTATAAATTGTATTTGCTGGCACACACTTCAGCACTACATTCAAGAAATACAGAATCGAGGACACAAAGAAGTCGCCAGGATCCTGCTGAAGCATAGAAAGGAATACACTATATTTGCACACACCTCTGCAGACCCTGGTGAGTTTGATACTATCGCAGCAGCAGTGGGTGGGTTGAATTCTTTTATACTGTGGATATCGATCGCAATAATTATATTTTCTAATCAATTCGTACACATACTAGAAATCAATATTTGCAGGTTTGGCGATGTGACTTCCAATTCAGCAGAACAGACAAACGGCGTACTCGTCCTGTTACGTAGCTTGGGACCGGTATGTTTGTGATAAACTTATGTGCTTGAATTGATATGTTTGTGATAAACTTATGTGCTTGAATTGATATGTTTGTGATATATTTCTGCGCTTGAATTGATGCATTTATGAGACATGTATAATTCATACTTCGCATCGATTAACGCTTACTCATTACTAGGTGAGTTTCAACCGAGGATTCTTGACGTACGTTGCTGATAAGTTCTATCGTCGACAAGTTGAGTCTTTAAGCCTATATACACTCGGTCATACACTGACCGAAACCCGCACTACAACACATACAATACATACGGGAGTTGACTGGTTCAAAGATCAAAGTACTGCTGACTAATGGTACGTGTCATCTCTTAATGAGATAGAAAAGGTACTTGTTATTTCTTAATGAGATAATTATCTCTTTAACAAACTCTGTTCCAAACTCTCGAATTACCACTGATGACTTTTCTACATGGAATTACTACAGTTTCAAAGGACTGTGTCATGGCAACTATTCAAGACTTGAGAGACGAACTCGTACATGGTCGGTATTCAGTAACGTTGAAGTCTAATGGTAGGTCTAATGATTTTGGTTTGTTTTGCGTTGTCAAGCATGTTAATAACCAGCCACTTCTGTAGGCAGAATTCACATTAACGAACGTTTTATTTCACACACTCTAGGTGTATCGGTTTGCGCATGCTTGCGTCGAGAAGCGTTGGGAATGATATGTGTACACGGAGGCAGAACTCTGATGACATTAGCATTGGACAACTCCCGGGAGTATGATAAATTCAAAGAAAAGTACAACTTACAAGATGAGAAATGGTAAGTCACTTGATTTTACTGGTTTCACCTATTTTAAGTTTGAGCGAAATTCCTCTATATTTACTATATTTCCACCATTGTTTTAAATGTTCAGGTGCAGCCCTGTATTTCATATCAAGACACACGTGAAGCAGTATTCGGAGACTCTTCAAATTCCAAATGAACTCGATATCGAGAGCAAAGTATGTTAGGTATATCCTCCAAACAATCCTGGACATCGAGGGCGTAAAAAAGGTCGACGTGCCAGGAATCGACGTGAATACAAGCGCAAAGAAAATCCACGAATATGCAAAATATGTTCGGCGAAGTATCACACTGCCAAGACTTGTACATCGTCAGAACCAGAATAAAGAAGGAAATTAATTCGCATGTGAAAAACTTGTATATGAACTCTATCACAAGCTTTCTCAACCCGCCCCTCAAAATCCACTATTTACTACCCTAAAATGATGTGATTTCACTAATCACTACCCCTAGAAAATATGGTAGGGTTTGAGGATATATTTACTAAGTGATCGACAAGAAAACGTACTGTTGTAATCGTCGGGGTAGTGATTAGTGGAATCTACATATCCACGGGGTAGTGTTTAGTGAATCCCCTCTACATATAAAATATATACTTCCATTTCGTATTTGTTGTTACAATAAGGTTGTCAGCGCGATTATTAGTAGTGGAGAATTTTTTTTTACAAGGAATTGAACTGACGCCGCCAGACATAAATACAAACCTTCCAAAATACCACTGACCTATATTTTATTTCTTTTTGTTTATACCCAAATATACATTTGATCTCTAAAACAAAGTTAAAACAAAGTTGTATAAAAATACTTCATTCCTAATATGTATACCATTCCCACACATTTTAACATACCCGGAATCAAGCAACATTTAGAATAGTAAAGGGCAAGAACATATTTTTCTAATATGGGTTTTCGTATTTTTCCAAATTTTTAATAGATCATTAATAGTATATTTCTATCGATCTCAAATTATTACAGTAATGTTATATTTTATTTCTAAAATCTTCTTTTATTTGTTTATAGAAAATAAAGAGCAATCTTTAGAAAGTTAAACAGGTGGACAAGTTGCCGTGTGAGAGGCCGTACTCCGGCCTCGTTGTTAGTGGATACTGAAATACTAATTTCAACAATAGTTCTGATTGGTAATGGCCATAGAATAGCTACCTGGGATATGGCACACCGCGGCAGACATGAGTGTGATGGGAGGACTTGGAAAAATTGAAACAGGATCCGGCCAGAAAAAGCTGACAGTATATAGTGGGAGACCCGTAGACAATATGTAGTCATTTTCTCGATTGCCTAACAATTGAGGCTAGAAATAGATAGAAAATTTTTAGAATTTTATTTAACACTCGGCGCATGAATTAAAAATGGCAAGATATCGCACTAGATCACTGTCGACCCGATCACGTACATCGACGCGGTCACGACGTCCACGCGAGTCCAGAGACAGAGAACCTCGCCCACCACAACAATACCGTGAGGAATATCATCATAGAGATCAACACACAGCACATGTCGACCCAAATGCTGGGCTCAACACGACGTACCCGAATTACACCACTCAGGGTGGCGGATACCCCTGGTTCTGGCAACAGCAGCATCAAGTACAACCACTAGGCCATTTACCACAGACCTATCAGTGGCCTATGCAGCCACCTGGCACGGATAACCAGCAATGGCAAGCAGGTTGGCTGCCTCAAAATGATACCTATACATTCCCAGGGCAAATACCCTGCCAGGCTAAAACAGTGAACGGCAAGAGTTTATCATTTCACATACACACACAACCAGCGCTTACCTCAAGAGTTTCAAACGCACCACACCCAAGCACAGAATACAATGCAGGAGAAAGCTAATCAGATGAAAGCACAGGTTTAGACATTAATCGAGGATAACAACCGGTTGAAAGCGGAAGTAGCAACAGCGGCAGGTGAAGCACGAGGTACGAGACCAGCTCGACGAGCTGATATGGAGAAGTACAGTCTGCAATCAATGCTCCCAACACCCTCCGATACGCAAAAGAAATCACTTGAAGAAGGTAAAATGGTTACTTTATCGCAAGTGAAAGTATTAGTTTGTGAAGATACAGACGCAACACGCACGGACTCAGTAAAAATCACGGCTGATGGTGTGAAGTTAGAACGCCAAAAAGAAAAGCTGAGCTCGCACATAGATATTATACACATGTCGTTGATATCAGTTGCGTTGCTAATGTCATTCACACCTCAGCTAGTGAACGATACATCGGCAGTATATGATCTCCTTCAATGGCTAATCAAGGTGTGTGAGCAGTGAAATGTGTACCCACCAGCAGCTATCCAATGTATAGATAATAATCACCGCAAGGCTTCACCAATCTACGACTATTTGTTCGTTGGGTACATTTAATCCTGAGATTAACATCACGTGAAGGCCGCCTCATAGATCACTCATGTGCAGTATTCATCAATCACATAGTCTATGCACATGCGCACGCACACGTCAGAAACAAGTAGAGACATGCTACGTGTTCAACAAAGGTCATTTTCAAGATCCTTGTCCAGATGGTCGCAAACACGACACACCTACCAAGACTGCAGCTGGATTCAAGTGACTTAGGCACGCAAGCTCACACTCTTCTACATCCTCGCGCACAGACTCCCCTGATCATAGTCACACACACACCATTAACCACACACCAAGCGTTCCTGTTAGCAATATATCACAGATAGGTTACCCTGACAAGAACTGGGCACAGGACACCGAGATACTGGGCGTAAAAAACACCGCGCACACACCTATTGATGTAGAACAACTACGACTCCACTTGGAAGGTTACGATGAAGTAAAAACGGCATGTTAAGTGAATGCTTTAGAAAATGGAGTCCGTACAAGATACGAGGGCCCAATCAGCACCATCACATACCCACCGCACTCTTCAGTCGAAGATAACCCGCAGGTAATGGTTGACAACATCCAGAATGAGTGTGATCTTGGACGCACACTAGGTTCATACACACAGAAGCAGGTAAAACAACTGTCGTTCTCCCATCGGTCTTCTCAGCAAACCAGGACCGAATAACACGGTAAAACACAGGGTATTTCATGACCTATCATACGGTAAGGACTCTGTGAATGAGCACATCCCACCAATGAAGTTCAGCAACCCTACACTTTTACGCGTGATCAAACATCTCGCGGTGTAGCCCGTCGGCACACGCATGAGCGTGCTCGATATATCATCAGTGTTCAGGCTGCTCCCCATATGGTCGTGGCATGTACTACTACTTGATTTCTCCTATGTGAGTATGTATTACTTCGAGGCCACCCTACCATTCGGTCTGGGTTCCGCTCCGTATCTATACTAACAACTGGGCGCAGTTTTGGACTTCATAGTCATAACACACTTGGCTTTATGGATACAGAGGTATGTGAACGGTTTCCTTGTAGTACACAACACCACGGACTACAGCATCGCCAAAGGTGAGAGTGACAAAATGCTAGCGTTATTTGCTTGTCTAGGGGTGCCCGTGGCTTAACACAAGACTATAGCAGCCGTGACTAATGCAGAATACTGTGGTGTAGTATTCGGTTCCATATGCTATACTGTCTCAATCACAGAGAAAAAACGGGTCAAATACGAAGCACTTCTACTCAGTTAGTTAAAATGTTCCAGAGCAACAATCAAGAAATGTCAACAGCTGGCCGGCTCCCTCAACTGGCTAGCAGCGGTTCTACCACAAGCAGCCGCGCTAATGCCAGCCGTGTATACCTTGCTCATCAACGGTCCAGGCTATCACCACGTACGCATCCGGCAAGAGATACGAGACGCAATCGGGGAATGGTATAAAGTATTTCATTTGTCGAACGGCACTAGGCTATTGACATACCCTGAGAAAGCAGTTGGTTGTTATGTCGACGCTTGCACAGCACATGGAGGCGGAGGATTAGACGCCTCAGGGCGATGGTTTTATATTGAGTGGTTACTTCATCATAGCCGCTACTGCGGACATTAATGAGCTGGAGTTACTCACACTAGTATACGCTGTGTCCATATTTGACCAGGAATGGAGTGAGAGATTGGTTAATATGTATTGTGATAACACAGCCGTATGACAAACCGTTGCGCGCAGACAATCAGACGCCATAGACATGCATAGATTACTCCAAATACTAGCCAGGATAGAAATACACTACGATATACATGTATCGGCTCAACATGTCAAGGGGATCGATAACGGCGTCGCATATGCGATCTCGCATACTGATGACGACGAAGCTAGACGCCTGTATCCTCGTCTGAAACACAAATCTGAGCCCCTCCGCTCACTCGCGCTCCATAGTGAGCAGAGCTTCGCAAAGAGATATGCTCAGCGGAGCAATTAGGTAACACTACTGTGTACATATTTTATACTCTTTTCCTCTCTTTTTTTTTTGTAAATAACTCTGTAAATGATTAAAAATACTCAGCGACCAGCAACAATTTGCTCGTGCACCTGGGCTTCTCATCTGCCTCAACCTTCACCCACGTCACAGACACAACGACCCTACCATTCGGGTCGGACAAGTCCACACCAGCAGCCTACAGTGAGCAAATCAACGTCGTCTCCCTGAGAAAATACATGGACCAGATGGCCTCTTTCGGTCGAGCGCTACGGACATCCACTTCGGGTTTAAGCATCTAGCGGCGGTTCCTGGATTTCTTGTACCACATGTGAGAGACTACAGGTCTCAGGCCAACTTTGAAGTCATCAGAGTTAGCTCACTCCCGAGAGCTAATCAAGTTGCTTAAATTACTCCCAAGAGTTGAGTTATTACTTAACCGACTTCCGAGAGCAGATTAAGTTTCTCAACCGATTCCCGAGAGTGGATTAAGCCTGTCAACCGCAACATTTTAATAATAACTGCGGTTCTATGTGAGTCACAACCTATGCAGAAAGGCATCATCTGATCAGCGTGAGATTTAGTTGCAGAGAAGTTGAAATGGAAAAGCATTGAAGTGTTAAAGTGGAGTTTTTACCCTGGCCAGCCCAAGCGGCTGAACACTAGCACAAACACCTTAGGTAAACCAAAGGTGAGGTCAGAAATAAATATATACATTTGCACTTTATTTAAAGCCTACTACATTGCACTCTTAACATATGAAGTAACAGACAAACACGCATATCTCCCGGAAAAGACGGCAAGTTCAGACGTCCCAACAATCACACAATACAACAAGCTAGTGGGTCAGCTACGATACCCTGTAGATCAAACACGAGTGGATATATGCTTTGCAGTTTTGATTCTAAGTCGCTATCTGATAGCACCTCAGTACCACCACTTCAGAGGTGCCAAGCGCTGTTTGAAGTATCTTGCTGGTACTCAAGACTTCGGACTCGAATAAACGAACAAAGAACCATGCATTCCCTATCTGAGTGCAGACAGCTTTGCTAGCGATGACACTACAAGACGATCCACCACCGGGCGAGTGGGCACTATAGCAGGTGCACTATTCATGTGGGGAACACACTTGCAACGACTAGCAACAACGTCTACAGCAGAGGCAGAATACGTAGCACAATCTGATACAGCCAAAGACGCAGTATGGGCTAGGAATCTCTTCACAGAATTCGGCATTCCGCTCGTAGAACCCACCACCATAGAACCGGACAACAAGTCAGCAATACTGATGGGAAATGGTATCACGAAATCCCGCCGTACAAAACATGTCAATCTACGATATCATCACATCAGGGAACTCACATAGAACAGCACCATCAAGCTGAAATACATACCATCAGAACAGCTACTCAGTGATTTCTTCATTTAGTCACTCAAAGTTTACCGACATACGCGACAGACTAATGACTCGGATGCCAGTATCAACATAGTTCAACTTATAATAAAGGTAAGTATTTTAAGGTAAGCAGGTGTCAAATGCTTTGTGCTTCTATCTCTGACTGCTAAATATACAGATATATCATACCGTGTAAAAAGAGTGTGTACAAACTGTTTGTATTATATGTAAAAATAAAAATAAAAATAATGTAAACGCAATATATAACTATATATTTGTTCACATAATTGTTCCTATCGATAGACACCCAAGTATTTACTTGTGCGACTGTGTTTTGACATAAAATACTCTGAAGTTAAAGTTGATCCCGCAGACAATTTGTATTCATCGAGACACATAATATTAGTAACTTAGTGGTTCTTTTTAATTTTTATGCGTGATATCGTAAAAGTTGCATACCTGTGACAATTTTTATAGAAATTCACTCGCAGGATACAAACAAAATTGTGAATTTCGCAGCCCACAGGCCCTACAGGGCCCTCAACCTCACACTGTCTCATCGAGACAATACTCAACAGCACCAATTCGTAAACGTCTTCGACAAATATACATTGGTTCAACGCTTTGAACGTGCGTCCGTTGACCTGCACTTGAATATAAACTCGGTTAGCAGAAGATAGAAATGGGTCCTGTATCGCCATCACTGCCCTGATAGTGTTAACAACGTGAAGCTCATATCCGACTCAGACACCCTCACATCTCATACACGTTGAGTCACGGACTCCCATACCCCGTGGTCATGCTCTAGTTCCGGTGTCGCGTGCTCGAATGAGTATCGTGTTGATGTGTGAGAGACTACAGTAGTAGACGTATTTCTATATACGTTAATAACGGTTTACGTCGTCAGCCCGAGAGTAATTTGGGACTTGTTCTCAAATTAATATAAGTGTAGGTGGGTCAGCCCGAGAGAACGTAAGAGTAATTTCAGACTTCTTCTCAGATTATTCTATTTATAGAATACGGGCCACCGGTTAGCCGAGAGCCGAGGTCCGAGACTGAGTGTAGTAACAGAGAATATGATATATTTATTTCTAGAAAATATATCCGAGTGCTAAAATGTTCTGCATAAGGTTTCTCATACTGATCATATGAGTTTTTATCCTGGCCAACCCAAGTGGTTGAACACTAGTACAAACACCATCAGTATATAACTGAGGGTGAGATCATAAATAAATTCCATTCGAACACACCGTACTTTAAATACATTTGCACTTTATTTAAAGTCTACTACATTGTACTTTAACAATGTGTACCTCGGTAGCTTCTGATGGTGGTACAAAGCCGTCGTCCTGTGCTATCGCATTCACCTGTACACCTGTGGAGTCGGTCGCGTGGTTGCAAATTCCCTACCCGGAGTGTTGTTCTGCCCCTGTCCTGAGGTTGGAGCTGCGGTCGGTCTGTGTGCAGGTTGTGCGTCTCGTGACGGGCGGTTGTTGTCATACGGGCGCGCCCCACCATATATACCCCCTGGTTGCGACGCACGAAAATGATGACATCGCGGAATATGACGTGAACCCGGTGGAGCTTGTGCCTGACATCCAGCACAAGTCGTAGGTGGTGTCGGTTGGGGCCGCTGTGTCCAGTTCTGCGACTGTCGTCGAATCGTCTGCGGGTTAGGGCGGCTATTGGTATAATCACGAGCCACGTTACTCGTTAGACCCTCCCTATTAGTTCGGTTCTGAAGACGCGCAGTAGTGTGCTGCTGTGCGTTCTGAATGTCGGGGCTCAACAGCTGCAGAAGCTCGTGTGTCTTCATTAATTGCCATTTCGGAAGTAATTGTAGAGTATGTTCGTACGTCCGACCATTGAGTGCTTCCTCGAACAATTGTACAATACAGTGGTTTAATAAGTTCTGTTGAAAGTCTGCATCCGCTTGACACCGTTCGCGTGCCCTCCTATGGTTTCCAGAAGCTGTGTCATTTGTTCCATGATGGGGAATGCATGTTCCTACTGTGGCCCTTGGCCAGCTTACGAAATGCGGGATCGACAGTGGCTTGCGTTTCATGCGAGCAGATCTGTTCGATTTGTAATTGTGGAGTCCACATCTTTAATCGTTCAGAGTTGTCTCATATATAATACAATGTTGATTTCTCTGCCTTAGAGTAAGATAATACCTTATGGAACCATGTAAGGCTCCAACTCTCATCTAACCCCGCAATTTGTGCGTTCTTAAAGGCCTCAAGGAGAGCCCCTCTCGTATCCCGTTCCATGATGTCATGCAAGTGGTATCTGTTCGATGGCCAATCGGGCCATGTACGTGGTGACGGTGTGGGACGTTTCTCCACCGGTTGGGACTCTTGCGTAGCCCGAAGCGTTTCTATCGCACCCCGAAGAGCTTCAGCCCGAGTCGTATCATTGTCCTCGATTGCTTGGCATAGCTCGTCGCTTAGGTGTAGTATACGTGCATGCAACTCCTCCTCCTCGGACAGTTGACCCTCCGACCCAGGTGATACATATCCGAGTCCACGATGCGGTCGTGTACGGCCTTGGATACGGAGCGTTGGGTTGTCCTCGTTGCCCAGTGACTTGTGCGCACGTTTGTGCGTGCCAGCAGATGTCTCAGTAGCGGACAACAATGTTGTGTACCGCTCTGAAGATATGCGCTGCAACCTTTGTTCGTACTTCTCCAAAAGCGACTGTTGTTGCACCATCAGCCCGGTCAGCTTCTGTGCGGAAGACTGGTCCCGTGCCGTACCCTTGTTGTTGGTACGTCGGCGGTGACGTCTGCGCTTGTTAGGTGGAAGGCGTGGCTGGTCATTATCCGAGTATGAGGCCCCGAAAGTGCCCGAGGACGAACAGGAAGGCAGTCCATTACTAGCTACATATTCACGAGTATTGATCTGATTCCGGTCCGCACGCAGGTCGGGAACCCCTATGGACTCACTGTCGTATACGATGTCCTCCCCAAAAAGGCCAGTATCACCCCTGGGTGTCATTGATGCCTGCCTATCGGTAGCAACTGTCTGGTGACAAGTCTCCTTCCGTTCGTGTTGTTGCTCCGCCTGTTCTTATACTCGGCTTACTGGTTGGCCTGGTCCGGATTAGACTGGCGACGCTTCGTATCGCGTCGATCAATGTCGTCTTCATCCCGACGTTCAGGGGTAAGATGTTGCTGACGATGACTTTGGCGTAGGTCAGACATGGTATTAGAAGTGTAGTTCAGTGGATATTTGAAAATATGTGTGGACTAGCTCGGAATAGGTTGGGTATAAATACCTATTCCATCCTAGAGATCGTCCTTCAATTCAACAAACCTCGACACAGTCCTTGAAGAACGGGTAGATCCTTTCTCTTCGACTTCATTCCCTTACAGAGTGGCAGTAGAGACGTGAGTACAACTCGTCCTCCATCCCATGCCCTACGTCGAAGTGCGTGCCGAGGCACACCCCGCTCTTATTGTCTGCTCCTCTTACTCCGATGGGGAGTCGTACCCACCTTCGGTGTCCTACCGCTGCTCCGGAGAGAGCTCCTATACTCTCTCCTTACTCCCCCTTCTTCGCTGTTGTTACTCCTCCGAGTCTTGTCATGTGTTGTTGCGGTTGTCGATTTGTGTTTTCCTATTGTATACATTATGCTGTACTAGCTTACGCTCCGTACTCACGAATACAAGACACCTTGTTCGTTCTATCGAACATAATTTAATATGGAGTTTTGGTACATCTAGTGCTTCCTAACTTCACGTTGTGCAATTTCTGTCTAGTTCCCACATATACTTCTTGTGTTATATCCCGGCCACATTCTACAAACCTAAAGTGGCTCTCCGGTGTGCTCTGATTCCTCTAGGTATATTTTAGTTTCCTATTTCCGCAACACGCAACAACCACTTCTACTATTAACCCCTCGTTTGATAATGGTTATACGTGCCTTCTCATGGAGATTCAATTAGCTCGAAGTCACTACCACTTACCGTAATAAATCTTGCACTTCTCCCCTATTCTATCTCTTCTGTGTACTCGTTTCGTGAGGCTGTAACTGTTCGCTAACACACTTGCCTTACTTTTCTTCTGTAATGCACACGGATACCCTGAAATGCGCATATAACTGTTTCCCCAATTCTATTATCAAACTCAACAGTTACGAAATTTCCTTTGTTGTATCAGGTACACACTATCCTTGCTTTCGTAGTGTCTCTCGACAGCCGTATACTCTACCTATTCTATGCCTGCTTAGCCCTTTCTGTACCTATGATTTAGGCCCCTTTGTTACCTTCGATCGTAGTCATCACTAACTATTTACACCTTGCGCGTGTCTTTGTATTAAAATCAGACCGCATATCTTCGAGTGTTATCCGCCAATATCCCTAATATAACGTTCGCTACTCCACTTACGTAGTACTCTATTGACTTCTTCACTTCATCCTACCAATTAGGTCATTCTCGATCTGTACATCTCTCAAATTCCCTATCATCATTTCTAATAAATCTCTTTGCCTAACGAAGTTCCTTTCCTGACAGGATCAAACATGATACTTGTACTACAATACTACACACACTACTCTCACACCACGACACTCAGTCACTAAAACCATCCCTCAAAAACTATTTCTACTTATCTGCTTCTTCCGGTGGGTCGTTTGTCTTGGTTATTTGATCCTCCTGGTCCTGTTCATGACGCTTTTGTGCCTTTGATATATTCTTTTGTGTAGGTTGCTCTTCGGCTTTGGCCGTAGTTTCATCGTCGGTCTTTGTGCTTGAGGCCCAAGTAACGTTGTATGACCGTCCGGTCAACCTAAAGCGTTCTAGATGTCTGGTCATGTTTATCCTGTTGAATCTGAAGCTCCTGTTGTTCACCACGGCTTCCTCTTGTCTTTCCCCGCGGGTTTGCTGGTCGTTCGGCCTTCACGGTTCTTCTGTTTCACTGCTACTATCCGACATTAAAGGTGGCATAGTGGCACAGGCATCGCAACTCGTATACCCAATGTCCTCTTCTTCGGCGGGTAGATTTTGAAAGATGTCGTTATCTTGTTGCGACATCATAGTGTTTCTGTTGTAATTGATGCTCTTCCTACTTTCTTTCGATGTATTGTTACGAAAAGAATCTAACAGTTGCTATCTAACTTCTAAAGGTAGCTAATACTTGATTACTAATAATCTAACAACATGTACGGTAAGTTAAAAATGTAGTAAGTATACGCTAAGATAACTGTATCACAACGTTCTCCCTCAATAGAGAGAAAGTCGTTGTTCTTTTATTAGTAATCTAAAAATCCTGACGACTCTAATTAATGAGTCATGTGCTGATTTATAATCGCTGACTTCTAATTGATGAGACATGTGCTGATTCTGTTAATCGGCAAAAACCAAGTTTATCAGATCACTCTGATAAACTGTAAAAAAACTCTAATAAACCTAAGTTTAACCCTACCTAGTGTATTCCGACCACAAAATGCTTTTTGCCAACTAACATGACTATAAGAAGTGCTACAGTGACTCGATGATATCAGTCAGGCTCAATATAAATTTATCGAAGAATCGGGCTATACGAATCCCTTGCAAACAAAGGCATGAATAGTTACCGGGCAAATCTGCACCTTTCGGAGACAAATAATTGGCGATAGGGAGGGAACGGAACATGGTTGGACACCAAGTTCAAAATCAGTTTCCAAATCCTACAACGAGTTTGCTCGTTTCTATGTGACAAACTATAATCTGGGTGAGAAGGATGACAGAGGCGACTCAATTGTGATCAATCTTGCTTTAACACAACAAGCGCGGGTCGTGCATTTATATGTGGAAGAATGGGAGACCTTCATATTGAAGTCAAGCGTTGCAAACAGGGCGTCACTCGTGGAAAAATAATCAAGACTTGGTAGCACAAATTGAGGATGGTTTTTTTACGTGATCGACAGTGTAAAAAACTACCATGTACGTCTAAATCATATAAAAGCATATAATACAGTGTATTGATCGGACCCGAGCACCGTTAAGAGGATGCGAACTGACGATGGACTATTACCGGCCATTAAACGTGCAACAAAAAGTGGTCATAACAGTGTCATACAATTTAGAGCTAAACACACAGATGTGACAATGACAATTGCAAGTGGACGAACAGAACAGCAAGTGATTGAGGATGACGGCACAGAAGTGCCTGATACGCCTACCTTAGTAGCCGCCACAACTCTACCTATAGCTTCTTCAGCTCCAGCAGTAGCCACCTCAGCCCCAGCGGTAGCCGCCAATACGCCTGCCTTGACCGCCAACGCACCGGCCGCTTCCACGCCGCTAATCGTTCCAGCTAAACCACCTGCGGCCTAGAGTCTGATTCATTCCTGCTACTGAAATGAATTTGGCAAATTCTTCGAAAACCACCCATGACTGAACATAGCGCAGGAAGCAAACCATCTGATTCGCATTATGAATAAGATTACGAACAAGGTTACGATGGTTACAACGTACTTCGTGACCGGTATCAACATTACCCACAGCATAACCAGCAATCATTCGACCAGCAGCAATATGGCCCGCGGGGACGTCCTCAGCAACAATCCCATTCAACGGCAATAGGAGTTATGCCCCAGTTTATTAGCAATACCACACATAAACATAACCAATACGGACCATTGTTCGAATTTGCACATAATTGAAATCAATACCCACAGAATAGACAATTGTAAACAAAAACAATAAAGTGTGCATGTATATTTGTCTATATTATTATGCAGTGTCATGTACACGTATATGTATCTAATTACCTGAGTAGAGACATCACTGCATACCACGTTCTATATGTATATACAAGGTATAATATACTACACGATACATAAAAACTAACATACTATGCAAATACAATCTGATGCATCGATGCTTCGATGCATGAACATTATATTTACATCATATATTACCATGTACTGTCGTAATAAAGTGTGCATGTAACAACACAGTACATAAATACTAACATACTATATCCCAATAGTTAATATGACCATTTTAGGACAAATGGTGATACCCCTGTTAAACTAAGCACAAGAAATGACAGAAGGATTAAAATTGGTAGGATCAGGATTAGCAACAATGTAACGTTGCCACCTATGGTGTAATAAGACAGAAAGTAATATAAACTGGTGTACCACGTATATTTATCATATTTCGTACACCTAGCCACAGACAGACACTTAATACCTTAAAGTAGGGATTGCCTAGTCCGAATACTACACTTCCGTATTTGTACTATTTCTACTTTGTCTCCCATGATCAGTTTCTGTCTGTTGCCTTGGAGATTCGACGCCTCAACTCAACAATGCAGCATCCTACTTGTGGTTGTTGCTAATATTATTACACTATTTGAGAAGGGCCGAATGCGGCCCAATCACACGGCATTTCCTCGTCGTGTTCAACTATCTAAAATCCCCTTTTATTTACTTCTAAATATCATTAAAAGTATATGAGACCAAGTATAAAATTAAAAGTTCAAAAAGAAAATAGTTTCCAACTATGAAAATACTTTTAAATATATATAAAAAGTACAAGATCAGTATTATAAAAAACCGCATATTATATTATGAAACGTTTCATTCTTTTGTAATGTCAACCATGTTTACCTCTGATTTACAACAATGATGGTGTCGTAAGTACCGAACTATTCGGTAATGTTCCTGGGCGTTAATAAGAGTGCGAGAACTTCTAAGTGTGGGCGATAACTTATAAGTGTGAAAACTAATAAGTTTGAAAAGTTCTAAGTTGTATTGTGCGGTTTGTTGGCGAACGGCCGCGCAGGCTCAAAAGAAGAGGAGGTTGGTGTATGATTGGTGCTTTGCAAACCGAAGTGCGGGGTAATATGAGCTGGAGGTTGGCAGATGACGATATATGTTGAATGGACTTGTGGGCTCGAAATTGAGAAGATACACGATTTGATTGGCGGCAGGATTCTCAAGGAAATCCTTCGGAGATAGTATAAATACGTGGTTTAGTTCATTCAAGAAGTTCATTCTGCTAAGGTAGACGTTTATTCAACAATCGAGGAAATAAAACTAAGTTCACCGTTACATTGTGTTTTGAGTCGATCTAAGATTACAAATAAACGTTAGTGGAAAATGGTTTACAAGAAGGATAATGCAGCTGGGACTGGGCAACCTCTATGGAGATATGTGTATGTGAGAGGGGAACCGATGACGACACTTATGCATCAATGGGATTACGTCAGGGGTACCAAGGCTTATGAGCTCGAGGCGAAGAAAGGAGGGTCCCGCCCAGCGATGGCTCTTTTGAAGGAAGTTACACCGGAGACGAAGTCGAAACTAGAGGGCTATATCAGCAAGACTGTTATTGAGATGAAGGATCTGTACATCGCGGCTGCAGCATTGTATCCAGCGTTTAAGGACCCATTTGAAGTGAGTGGAACCCAGGCGGATTTTGCGAAGGCAATAGGAGGGTGGTGATCCAAGCCTGAAAGGTTATTGAGCATCTTCGTGAGATTTATTACTATGTTGCTCGGTATGTTGCGGCGAAAGCTGAAGCAAAGAAAGTACTCCCAGAACGGGATCCATTTACTGAGGTGCCTTCTGAGGACGAACTAGGAGGAAGTCTAGGGACAGGGACAGCAGTGATAACAGCGAAAGTAGCGACAGTGAGGATGAGGATGCTAAGAAGAAGAAAAGAGTGCCTGCAGTGAAGGTTGCTGCAGTAGGGAAGAAGACTGATGCATCAGACAAGCCAAGGGCAGCAGCTAAGTGGAAGATAGAGGCTAAGCAGAAACGGCGCGAGTATGATGCTTTGTGCAAGGTGATTCGTAGGAATGCTAAGAAAGCGAATCAGCATGGGGCACGCAGGATGGTTCCTATGCTGAGGGATGATGACTATGTGGATACGCTGCTTAAATTGGCAAATGATGTGAGATCTAAGGATGTAGTGATGGAGGGTTTAAAAGGATTGACTGAGCGGTGTATAAGTCTGTTGAAAACCTTATTTGCGAGTCGCAAATCGGAGAAAAACATGGTTCTGAGGATGTTCGAGGCAGGAGGGTTGGGGCAGATGCTGGAGCAATTGTTTGAGATGAGAGAAGACGACAAAGCGCGTCAAGAAGAGCGGGAACAAGCGGGCCGTAGACATCAGGCGAGGGTAGCCGCGAGAGCAGGACAGTTGCAAGTAGCTGCAGCTAGACAGGAGTCGAGGGTTTCAGGGATGACAGGTCTGAGAGGGGCGTGCTTGTTTTGCAAGCAGGATGGTCACTATGTAAAAGAGTGTCCTGTGTTGAAAGACGTGGTGTGTCATACGTGTAGCAAGAGAGGTCATACTGCGAGATTCTGTCCTATAACACGATCCGGGGGTAATGTAGTGGCAGCAGCGTCTGGGGAGGTGCGTATGAGTGCAGATGGGACACCTGAATTGTGACATGCGGCGGCGGCTAATTATGAAGGACCAGGCCAACCGTTGATCTATAGTTATGTGGAGAGTGAACAGTGTTATGACGATATGTTTGTTGATCAAGGCGCCGATAGGTCGATGATTTCTAAGGGGTTGGTAGAGCGTCTGGGGCTGGTTGCTCAGTATGATTTGTATGGAGAGTGGGTACGGGATTTGGTGCTCCGCTTTATGTGGAATACAAGGTGCGAGATGTTGAGGTTGTTTTGCCTACTTTAGTAGGAGAAAGGAGGGTTAAGTTGGATATGTGGGTTATAGATTGGATTCCACACAATGCGGGTATGTTGTTAGGTAGACGTGAATTGAATGGGTATGGATTAACTGGGGCAGTACTCACTAGGCAAGGGGTGACTAAGTATACACTGTTTCCGGTTGAGGTGGTAAAAGAGAAGCCATCAGACTTTAAGACCTGGCTGAACAAAGAGGCGTCTGAGCCGGTGTTAGATTATATTCAGCATGTGGCGGCGCCGTTATTATATCAGCGAGCAGAACCGGTAACATCATTTGATAGTATGCAAGATGATGGGGGTTATGATTGAGGTTATGAAAGTGATGGATCCGGGGGTGAGGACGATTATCTAATGTTCAATACGAGTGGCTTAGAACTGTTGGCTGAAGAACTGGGGAAGTCTATGGAAGAATTGGCAGAGTTGGTGGCGGCTATTAGGAGAGTGGCGTACAATGACAAGAAACCGAAGTTTGTGAAGGATCGGATGCTTAAGCTTCAGATCAAAGAAGGAGGGGCGCCTTTGAGACAAGTATATGCGAAGAAAGATGTGCGATTTATAGAAGTGATGAAGAAGAAGGTGCAACTATTGCTTGAAGCTGGGTTGATAGAGTGGGTGCAAGATACGGATTGGCTTACAGTGCCGAAACTTGTGCCTAAAGTGCCGGGTAGTAATCCCAGTTATGAGGAACCCAAGGATTGGAGGATGTGCATAAATTATATGCGTACGAAGTATCAGCTAGATTCGGGTACATATCCGATACCAACAGAAGATGAGTTTCTGGCAACAGTTAAGGGGCGCAAGTGGTGAACTAATGTGGACGATGAAAATGGGTTTGGGCAGTTAATGATAGAGCCTGAACTGCATTTTTGACGCCCTGGGGAGAGAGATTCCAATTTATTGGTATGCCGTTTGGTTTAAAGGAAGCATCATTTGTGTTCCAACAACTAATGGATGAGACATTGGAGGGAATTAAAGGAATTAAGACGTACATTGATGATACTGCGCTAGGTTCGGATGATCCAACTGAGCATTGGGATGGTATTGTGGAGATGATCAGGCGCTTTGAGGCGAAAGGGATACAGTTGCGGCTGTCAAAATGTAATTTCGCGTATCGAGAAGATTCTATAGTCGTGATGGGTCGAGAGGTTTCAGATAAGGGTTCGATGATAAGTGAAGTAAAGCTTCAGGCGTTATTAGATATGCCCAGGCCCAAAACTAAGGCCGAGGTCAGGTCGTGGTATCAGTGTTTCGGATGGTGGGCGAGTTACGTTCCGAATTTCTCAAATGTGTTGGCTCCGATTAGTGATCTGACTAAGAAGAAGGTACGGTTCCAGTGGGGTCCTGAGCAGGAGAAGGCTTTTCAGTCGGCTCGGAAGATTTTTCAGGCGAAGACAGTCTTGGTAGAACCTAGACAAGAGGAACAACTTAGGTTGCAGACAGATGCGTCGGATTCGGGTATAGGTGCTTGTTTATGTGTGAGAAGAGATGGAGAATGACTTCCTGTGGGCTTTGTGAGTTCCAAGATAGATTTCCATGCTAATTTGTCTCCGACAGATAGATAATTGTTAGCGCTAGCATATGGGGTTTTGAAGCTCGCGGGTTTGATTAGGATATCGTACGAGGTGCGTATAGTAGAGATGGATCATCAGCCTTTAATTGTTGTGGTTCAGCTGGTAGAGTTTACGTCGGATCCAGTGGGTAAGAGACGGTACAGGAATGATATGTATGTACGATCGTTTGATATGGATTTACGGTACCTGGAAGGGCCAAAGAACAAAGTTGCGGATGGACATAGTCGTATGCCGTGGTGGTTGGTGGTTTGATCCTATTATGGTGCATGTGTCGGTAGAGGGTGATAAGTTCGCTGCATGTGCAAAAATGGGTCTGCCAGAGATTGATGAAAGTGTGGATTTGTCATTTGATAAAGTCTGCAAGGATGTAGAAGACAGGAGGGTCCGGCTGGCGGTGGTTATAGAGAAACTGCGAGTGTTAGAGGAGAGTCTTGATGACAAGGTCAGTGCCGACTTCAAGGTTCGTGTGGGTTTATTGCATCCGCAGGCTACTGCAGTGATGGAGAGAGGTATTACTAAGATGTGGGATCCGGATGTAATGGCTAGCAAACAGCTTAAGTGTATTGGTCTAAGTGTATGGTCAGAACTTGTTCAGCCTTTGCAAGAGTACGTTATTACGCTGGTGCATCAGACTTTAGCGCATGCTGGGGTAGATAGGATGTGGGAGTTCCTGAAGGTTAAGTATGGAGAGGAAGTGGTTGAAGAGTTGTGTTGCGTGTCAACAAGTTGAGGGGCTTCGTGGGACTACAGGGTTGTTAATGCAGCTTGAGAGGCCGAAAGGGGTTGCAGTGTGTATAGGCATGGATCATTTGACCTTGCCAAGGACAGTTCACGGTTTCGAAGGTATAGTAGTGGCCATAGATCATTTTCCGAGGATAGTGTGGTGTCGGCCATACACGTTGGAAGAGAAGAATACTAAAGGGGTATTAGAGTTTCTTCAACAACAAGTGTTGTCTTGGGGTACACATAAGAAAGACACATAAGAAAGTAGTAATGGATGAGGGTGGCCCGTTCGCTTCAGCAGATATGAAAAGTTTCTGGGCAGAGAGAGGTGCAGAATGCCATTACGTATCAGTAAATAGGCATCAGGGCAATGGTAGGGCAGAGAGGGTCTTGCGTACGATTCTGGATTGGCTTGCTAAGAACTTGCCGGTAGGGGAGGAAACCTTATGGCCAGCATATATATATTCAGTTATGTTGGCGAACAATGCGACAGTGAATTCGGCCACGGGTATCAGCCCATACTATCATGTTACGGGCCGGCATTATACGGGGCAGGTTGATAGAATAATTCAAGCGAAGTTGTTAGAGGTGATAGGTTCTGAGCTTCTGAGTGAAGCTGCTGTGCGGGATAGATCGGTGGCCATTGGAAATGAAGTAGCGAAGGAGGCGAAGGCAAAGGCGACAGACAAGAATAGAAAAGAGGCACCAGATTGGCAGCCGGGGCAGTTGGTTTGGTATACTGGTAGGTCGAAGGATAGTAAGTTGGCGAAAACCTATTTAGTGAGAGGCACGATTGTTATGAGGGAACACTTACAAGGGATGTACAAGGTCAGAATTAATCGGAAGGTTAAGTCAATACATGTGGATCAGCTTAAGGTGAGGTTAGAGGATCCGAAGCATGAGTCCAGTATTAGAATGCGTAGGAGGGAAGCTTGTTTGATCTGGCTCCACAATTATACCGGTGAAGGGGCAGCTAGTGTTACAGAACTTGATGAAATGGTGGCAGTAATGCGATAAACAACGATGGGGAGGACTTGGTTATATGCCATGAATTCAGCTTTTGGTATATATGTTGATACGATAGTCAATGCGGCGAAGCGAGGTGAGAGTAAGGGCGTGGTAGAAGATACTTTGGATTTGGCTATGAAGCATCACTTCAATAAGAACAGGTGGAACAAGTTGCAAATGTTCTTCCAGGTTGCGAGGGATCCGATTTTGCGGAAGAAGCAGTTGAGTAAATGGTTGAATGAATGAACTCGACACTAGTGTCTTGTTCATTGGGGAGGTGTAATGTCAACCATGTTTACCTCCGATTTAAAACAATGTTGGTGTTGTAAGTACCAAACTGTTCGGTAATGTTCCTGGGCGCTAATAAGAGTGCGAGAACTTCTAAGTGTGGGCGATAACTTATAAGTGTGAAAACTAATAAGTTTGAAAAGTTCTAAGTTGTATTGTGCGGTTTGTTGGCGAACGGCCGCGCAGGCTCAAAAGAAGAGGAGGTTGGTGTATGATTGGTGCTTTGCAAACCGAAGTGCGGGGTAATATGAGCTGGAGGTTGGCAGATGACGATATATGTTGAATGGACTTGTGGGCTCGAAATTGAGAAGATACACGATTTGATTGGCGGCAGGATTCTCAAGGAAATCCTTCGGAGATAGTATAAATACGTGGTTTAGTTCATTCAAGAAGTTCATTCTGCTAAGGTAGACGTTTATTCAACAATCGAGGAAATAAAACTAAGTTCACCGTTACATTGTGTTTTGAGTCGATCTAAGATTACACTTTTAAGTTTTTATCTACCCCCTAAAATCCTTATAACCAATTAATCTACCCCCTATTTTTATTTATAAAATTATACACACAAAGTATATACTACACACATACATATCATATAGTCGTATAGTTGAGACCGCCTCCACAGTTTTCGAGCTCACAATGTCAGGCGGACGTTGTTGTGTGCTAGAGTGTGGTAAGATATGGGGGAAGGTGTCACTACACCGCCACAGGAGTGACTGAGACCTTTCATTAGAAGGACGAATCAAGATAAATAGGAATCTCAAAGTGCGTAGATTGCGGTTTGAATACGATGATATGACAGACTACAAGAAGGGTAGAGTACCTAGAACGGGAAGCGTCCCAGGACTCAAGCTTCCGGAGCGGAGAGTTGATGCATCAGCTGTTGAGAGCCATCATGTGCAATCAGTATATAGTAGAAATAAATCAGTATATAGTAGAAACAAACGTGTTCAGTCGAGTAGCAAAGTACGTTCATAGAACGTTCTCGATACAGAAAATCAAATTCGTTCGTTAGTATATAGCGTAGAAAATACAACTACAGATAAGAATTATGGTGCAGGTGCAGGTGCTTTGTATAGGTGCATGTTCAGGTGTTTGGACCGGTGTCGGCTTGGTGCTGCACATATATCTGGTGCCCTTGGCATCGCATTGAAGTCAGGAAAGGGAAGACTGGGTCGCCATCCAGTCGTTTGTGCTGAAAGTATTCCTAGTGCCCTTAGCATCGCATTGAAGTCCGGCATGTGGGAAAACTGGTTCGCCGTGCAGCCATTGTCTCACTCTGTGGTCGTGCTGCTGTTCTCCGTGCGACGATTCTGGTTCTTCAGCTTCTCCATCTGGTCTCCTATTCACCCACTCAAAGAAGCTTCTGATTTCGTTGAAAACTTTACACTGCTTCGCATGAGACTCCACCGGAACAGAGTGAGCACCACAAGCAGGACATAGCTTGCAAAAATATAAGAACGCTGTCAATGGTTCGAATACATAAACTACGTCATTAAGCAAACATACGTCGAGCGCTTCAGACAGATACGCACGTGCCCCCCCAACGAGAACATTGCAATGGTTCGAGCATATATAATACGCCAAAAAGCAGACATACATCGAATACTCCAGATAAACGCCATAAAGTAAACAAATGTCTAGCGCTTCAGACAGATACGCAAGTGCCCCCCCCCCCAACGAGCACACCAGAACCTTCTAAATGGTTCGAATGCATAAACTACGCCAAAAAGCTATTCCCAGTCTGGCAATTGGCTACAAGATATACTGTTAATAGTGGCTTTGTAGTTCACATACATTCATATATTTGGTTATGTTTTAATTCGCCAAAACCCGTATCTTCCGTCTTCCATATGGCTACAAGGTGTACTTTAGTAATTGTTTTATAGTTTTTACTGATATATCGAGTTATGCTGTAGTTCACCAAAGCGTTAATTTTCAGTTTTGCATGTGGCTATAAGGTGCACTGTTAGTAGTGACTTTGTAATTTCTAGCTTGAAATATTTAGTTATATTTTAGTTCGTCACAACGCTTATATTGTCTAGCATATGGTTAGAAGGTGCACTGTTAGTATTGGCTTTGCAGACTTTACATTGATAAATATACTTCTGCTTTTGTTCACCGAAACGCTTATCTTTCGTCTAGTATAAGGCTAAAAGGTGCACTGTTAGTAATGGCTTTGTAGTTTTAGCATTAATATGTAACTATAGTTTATACATTATGATATATTTAGTTATGCTTTAGTTCGCCCGACCATGGTATACTCCTGCTCTCGGCCCGAGATGAGCTGGAACTTCCGTACAGTTGACGGTTCACACATTGCGCTGAACATCTCCGCGGCCTTCTCCGTATTCTGAAGTGTAAAGAAGACATTCGATAAGATTTGGGGTTGTAATTTAATTTTCGATTTGGATTTGGAAATGAATTGAAAATTAAGTTTTGATTTGGGTAAAAATTTGAATTTGAATTTGAATTGAAAATTGAAGGAAAATAATTTGTGGATTTGGACGTGGATATGGATATGTCAGCTGTACTGTTCGATGTGATGTATGAGGTGGCTGTATACTACTACGAATATACACAAGAACATATGATTGCCATGCCCTAATGAAAATATTTTATTGCGAACAATCGACGGGAACGATATCCATCGATGTGAGAAATGATGTGTATGTACATCTCTCACAAAGATTATTTCGAGAGATGTGAGTGCATTTTGATGGCAGCTCTATTGTTCGAAGCAAGAAATGGGGTTGCATGTACTAGTACCATTTTTCAGCACACAAACATGTAATTAAATTATAAGGCTCACTAGTACGTTTTATAGATCAAGTATACAAACCCACGGTTTATTCATTTGGTCATAAAGTGTCTAAAGACACTAGTGTTTAAAACTTACTGGGCTTACGCTAGTACATACATCCTACATGATTACTTCCAACATTTACACACAGATACATGTCCACCATCTATACCATACAAAGGCCTTTAGTTGTCGTATATACTAACCTCATGCCTGATCTTGCAAAACTAGTAGTGTTGCTCTTCAAATCACTAACAATTCCGGTCCAAAAGTCTAGGGCACTGGTGGTACCTACGGTTTTCCCTGTACTCTAGCGGTCACACCTCAGCCACTGCTTTAGCACCCATACTTTACATAAGGCTCTAAAAGTGACACATTAGATCTTAGCATGTGTTCATAGAAGGATTTATAATCTAGGTGCCAGATAACTATACCGTTTCGTACTTACATAGGCTCTCAGGGCTAGCACTCACAACATGCAAGAACAACTAGCACCATGTTTTAGGACCGGTACATACCTCATACATAAACTTGCGTCCACCTCTGTGGTTCTTCAAAGTTACTACCAATGCAGCCCCTGGCGCCAGCAGATCTTTGGCCGTTGATACAATCTCCATACAATCCGTGGGAGGAATGTTCATATCACACACCAACAAATTGAACCTGTAGAGATAGCATTCAATATACACAATTGAGTGTAAGAAGCATGGATTGAAGTGAACATTCGTATCTGAGGCTTAAGTTCCAAATGAGACAGATACACATACTCTCTTGGTGAGGAGTGTTCATGTCACATTCTAACAGATAGAACCAGTAGAATAAACGTGTGAGTAGGAAGCCGTTTCTTCATACCAATTTTTGTGAAGTTTGTCTATATATATATATATATATATATATATATAACTACTACACACACAC